TCGACACAGCAGATTGATGCCGCGCTCTGCGGGAATAACGTCCGGTGATCAGAAAGACGATGTGTAAAAGACGGCCTCAAATCGGAAGACGCTGCTTTACCCATGCCCTTTCTAGCAACCGTTAGTCGACATCCCGAAGTCAACTCGCCAACTCCACGGGGGACGGATGGGTCCATGAGCACCTCCGTGGTAGGGATATGACTAGTTCTAGACTGGTGAGAGTAGTGTCTTCCGAACAGCAACAACCATGTACGTCTTCCGCTGTAGCCATATCCAAGCTTCAAGCAACAGCTACGATCAAGACACAAGCAAAATCAGGAAGACTAAGACAGCTGACCATGCACAAGAAGGGGCACAAACAGGATCAACAACAACCAGTTCGACACCACTTCCGCCATGGTGTTGAACAAGTTCGCGAAGGGGGTCAACAAAAGGCGGGCTAATCTTACAATTCAGCGCACGCATGCCCCAAAATAAAGCACTGACAGGAGGGCCAAGATCCAAGTGGCAGCGATGCTGCCAGGGATCGAGATCTTCCTCCCCTTTCAGGCGAGGGACGAAAAACACTTCCGTCACAGAATACAGACACGCAGCTTTGTCAGGTGCGGCCCTTCTGGACACTGAGGGAATTCCAGGCAAAGAATGCAAGCATGCGACGGTCGCCGGCGCATGTCGTGCTCTCTTTGCCCCCCTGCCAGGCTCGCGTCGCGGCCCGTTTCTTTCACGTTGAAGATCGGGCCCATACTTTCCCGATGTTCAACATGACGGAGCCAACGCGGAGCAACTCGGCTGAGTCGGTTTGACACTCGAAATAGCCGATGCAGACATAGCTCAGGTCCCGACACGAAGCTGAAGGACTTCCGGATGAAGCTCTTCGTGGTCCATGACATGCTGCAACTCGTCTGATTCACTTAAGAGCCGCAGGTAAGACACCCGCCTCCGATCCAAGCCTTTGCTCAGGTTGACCCACTACGCCCAGGACCAGCAGTGAGAGGATCAGAACCCGCAGCAGTGCGTGCGCGGGAGTAAAACACGTAAAGAGCTCAGGGTTCCAAGGAGAACTAAATAGCCCACAAAGCTGATATTTACGTACATCGTCTAGACCACCCTCTAGAATTCTGTAAAGTCCCTGGGTGGGGAACAGCTCCAGTGCCTTTCGAGGAAAGGTCGAATTGTCAGAGCAATTCGCAAGACTGGAGCCAAGCCCCTTAGGCTCTGAGCGTCAGGGAGGATGAACTCGCTCCAAGAATGATGTTCGACACACCTGAAATGGTTTTGTTTTTTTTTTCCACGCAACGAGACTGGCCTTGTCGTGCCGCGTGGGCTTAGGCTCCGATCCAACAGGAGCAACCAACAGTCTCGCAAGCCAAAGGAACCGGGCTCGAGCATCTCCGCGAAAGAGAGATATGACCAGTTCGAAACCGGCGAGAGTGAGCAGAAAGACGATGCATAAAAGAACGGCCCCAGATCGGAAGACGCTGCTTTACCCATGCCCTTTCTAGCAACCGTTAGTCGCATTCCCGAAGAAAACTCGTCAATGCCACAGAGGACGCATGGGTCCGGAGCACCTCTGCGGGAGAGGGATGGGACTGGTTCTAGACTGGCGAGAGCACCGTCTTCTTGCCAACAGGACTACTCGTCCAGTTCCGCCGCAGCGCATTTCCAGCTCGCAAGCCATCACTTGCATGCAATCAACAAGCTAAGACATGAGACCGCGACATCCAGCATGCACGCATGCACCAGCACCAGCTTCTGCAACTGAGGTCACATCGCCATCGGGCATGACAACCCAATCGAGATGTAAGATAAGCAGATAGTCCTCATGAGGGTTAAGCAAACGATGCCGGCGAAGGTCCGAACCGCGCCTCAGAAGCTCGAGCCCCAGGAGTGATGCCGCTTCAGGCGGATCGCGTGATAGCAACATGCCCAGGACAGCCGTCCACATTCACTTCGTGGACGGCGAAAGCCGATCAGTGGAGGCAGGGCAAAGCCACCTCGAGCAGAGCTCATGTGTGAGTGTGACGCGAAGGTGCACGGCAACACTCATATTGGAACCGTGGCCAAAGAAGCCGCGGTAGCCAAATGGAACACCGGTCCGGGCCTGTCAGCGCCGCAGCCGAAGACAAAGTGCTGGAAGCGCTCTCGACTAAGGTACCTCATACAGGATCATTTGTGGCGAGCGCCTGCTCAAGGGCAACGAGCGCGTCTCGACCCTACAGCAGGGCATCACCCTGATCAGGCCGCCGCAGTCCAGAACCCCAGTCAAAGGCCTAAGATTGCAAGTTGCGGCGACTGCAGGATCGCCGCCACAAGCGCATCCAGCAACAGCGAGGAGGACCTGGAAAGGCTGGTTCAGGAGGCCGGCCTCGCACCGAGCGAGTCGCAGAAGCCGACACCAACTCTGAACCCAGATCAACCAGCTACTCGACAACCCATAGCCGGACGCGCCACACGCTCAGCCCACAGCAGCCAAGCGAAACAGCCCAAGCTCGTAGCAACCAACACTCACAGTAGCCATAATGCGAGCCGCCACTCACCCACCGAGGTTCGCAGCCACAACCCTCAAAGAGAGGGTGGGAAGGACCAGCTGCCGGCGGAGCGCGGTCCGCACCCGGAAAATAAGAGGGAGAGTGGTCAGAGCGAGCCGCAATGATCAAGCACACGTGAGAAACACAACGCTGAAACTAAGCCAAGTAAGAGCCAGAACCCAGGGTTCCAGGGCAGTCTAAGTTCGTTAGCATGGCAGTCGATGTCGTTCAAAAACCCCTGGGAGGGGAACAGCTTCAGTGCCTTTCCAAGGAAAGGTCGAGTTGTCAGAGCAACTCGCAGGTCTGGAGCCAAGCCCTTTAAGCTCTGAGCGTCAGGGGAACATCAGCAAAGAAAGAAGAAAAGAGAAAGAAGTGATGGAAAGGGAAGCTGGCAGCCGACCGTACGACCAATGAGAAGCACACCCAAAGAAAAGGGTCTTGAAGCTTGAAGCAGGACCGCCAGCCCCAGAAGCGAGAACTTTAAGGTTTCGGAGAAGGAACCTGACCGAGCTAACGCAACACGTGAAGCGTTGCCAAGAAGCCACGGGTTCAGGCGAGAGACTGAGAGCCCCCACCAAACCGAGAAGCTCAAGAAATCCGACAAGAACTTCAGCTAACAGGGACCCACTGTGCCCGCGACTGCACTGCAAGACCTCGCATCAGCCCAGAAAGAAAAAAGAAAGCAGACCAGCAAAGCGACGCATCGGCAAGTCGCACCGACCAAAAGCAAGAAGGGCCACGAAAAAGGAAAAGGGAATCACCTCGCTTTCCCGTGCCTGTTGCACAGCCTTTGGTCTTTGCCCCCACAAAACAGTTCACTCCGATGGTAGACGGCACGGGCCTTGAGCACTACCATCAACACAAAAGGGGTAGGACCGGTTCTGCAACAGTGAGGGCTAGGTGTAGAGAGAGAGAAAGAGAGAACTCCATGTACGCCCGTTTGTAGCATCTCGGTTCCGGCGAGACTGTTCGTGCTGCAAGACCTGTACATGAGCACGAGGTTCTTCAAAGACACGAACACCACCAAACATCACGCGAGACATGTGACTCAGATGCGGAACCATACCAGAAAGGTCTGTAAGTGAAGACCCCCTAAGACCATGTAAACCGCTCAGTAGATGTCGAGTCAGAGTGTAGCTCCAAGCCTCTCACGTCGAAGCACCCAGATGGCGTCACCCTTAGCTTGGATCAACAGCCAGCATGTGCCGTCTAAAGCATGCAACCAAAGCGCCAGCCGAGGTCGCAGAAAAGAGGAAGCGCATCGCAGAAGCGCCGATTATCCGCAGGAAACGACGGCCATGTCAGCACTCCCACATCCAGCAGCCAAACACCCGAAGTGGCAGGCGCAACACAACGCTGGTCAAGCTCTACCTGGGCCTGGCTGGCACCTGCGTAGAGGTGAAGGCTGAGCCCAGGCCGTTCTGCTGTAACCAGCGTCGTCGCACATGAGCCAGGCAGACCCCACCGAAAGGGTGCACACCTTCGTCGGGGCGTATGCCGAAGACCACTGGCGCCCCATACCTAGACTCGAACAAAAAGGGCGACAGTAGCACCCGCCACCACCACTTTGAACTCAGGACGGCTCCGCGAGCAGATCGAGCTAGTGGTCACGGACAAGAAGACCGGCGAGGTGCTGAAACACAACGACACCATCGGGTCATCCTGCCGCGCTTGCATAGTTGTGGTTCCGAGAGCGTCGTAGAAACGCGGACCAAACCCGTCTCTCGACGCCGGACCAGGAACCACCCGGAAATGCAAGTCACGCTCGTGCGGGACAACTCGGGAAGTGACCCTGAGCAACAGCCCCAAGTGCACTGCACGAGCCTTGCTGAATGCCGATTTGCAGTCTCCTCGCTCAGGTGGTATTCTCCGGAAGACTCCAGCGAGGAGTCAGAGTCGCGCCCTCAGCGAGAGACCTAGCTCGTAGACCGAACAGCGGAAGCAGACATGGTCCGGATAAGGTCGGAAGCATCCGTCTGTCCCTCAGATTGTTAACATCATCCAGCCCGAACAGCCTGATGTAACCCTGGCAGGACGGGACGGCGCCCTGACCCGGCAGGACACGCGGCAAGCGCTGCGCAGCCGCCGTGAAAAACGATTCGGACCGAAGTCGAGAGCTTTCGTTTAGCGTCCTAAAGCACAGGAAACGCAGCAACAGAGCAACATCCGAAAGACAACACTAGCAAAACCGACAGTCAAGCAACCGGAGAGCACGAAGCCGAACTAAAGGTACCCCAAGCAGGACCTGCAAGACAAATGCTATCCTACCGCGTCCATCAAAACAACGTGCCCAGGGTTGTAACCAAGCCGTTTGTTTCGAGAACTTCCACGCTAAGCCGACAAACTCCTAAGCAACAGCGCCCATAAATTCCCTGGGTAGGGAACAGCTCCGGCGCCTTTCCAAGGAAAGGTCGAGTTGTCAGAGCAACTCGCAAGTCTGGAGCCAAGCCCTTTAGGCTCTGAGCGTCAGGGAAGAAAGCAGCAAAGAGGAGAACGCCATCCCGTCCGTCAGCCCGATCTGAAGCGGCGAGAAGGGATGTGACGGGCGTCAAGTCACGCACAATGTCCCGTGCACCGACTTGCTGTGTTGCCAGATCCTCGTGGATCCACGGTGCGGCGAACAACGCGAAGGACGCACCGCACACACACCGTCAGAGCCTCAGCAGCAGCAGCAGGAGTGCCAGTCGATGCCGACAACTGCAAGGGTCGAGACTGACAAGAAACAGAAACTCGGCCGACCGCAGCTCATGCCGGCTCCAGCGAGCAACCAGCTGCCCCGGCAAAACTCCAACATGGGCATCGGCACGTCGGCGGAGCAGCAGCCTCAGCGATGTTTGAACAACACCCTTGCTCAACAACTCCTCCCGCTCAACTCCCGCAGCCATCAGGACCTCGACCATCGAGCCGAGCGACGCGGATGCCACGCCCCGCACTCAAAGCGAGAAACATGCTAGCCGGAGGCGCCAAGCAGATTACTAAGACACCAGGCTGGACGACTACGATGACATGATCGCCACGATAAAGGGATGTGGCAGAGGCCAGCAATCTCCCAGGCCCGCAACGACCAGAACGCGTTCGTGTATACTCTCTACATAGACTAGAGCTGCACATGCATTCGTTGCTTTCGGCAGGCTGGCCAAGTCGTCCGGCAAGGGCAACAAAGGCGCCGCGAGGCAGCGTCACGGGGTCAGAGGCACAGAGAGAGGGAAAGAAAGAAGCACAGACAAAGAGAAAGAGAGACAGAAAAGGAAACAGAACGAGCGAAAGCCATCGCAACATGCACAGAACAATCTCATGACACACATACACACACAGAGAAATAGGGACACACCGAGAGTTTGTGATGTGCTGCACAGGTCGAGCTCGCCCGTGCCCGATGCCGCCGCCGCTGGCCAAGGGCGCGGCATCAAACGCCCCAGGGAGCGCTCCTAAGGGCAAAAAAGCGCAGAGCATCTGCATGCGAACACCGACCGTCAGCTGAAGCACGTGGGCACGCAAACACGTGCAATCACACACACACACAGAGAGACACAGACAGACAAAGCTTCGCGATGCCCAGGTTCTACCACATCCAGCTCTACAGCGCTGCGGCGCCACACCCCTGGGTGAGGAACAGCTTCAATGCCTCTCGCCCGCGAGAGGTCGAGTGGTCAGGGCCACTCGCAAGATTGGAGCCAAGCCTCTTAGGCCCTGAGCGTCAGGAGGTGACGGCCATTGCAACACAACAAGAAAAGCGGTCCGAGCGTGCAGAAGGCACGCAAACGAAGAAAACCAAGTCAAAATCAGACCCGGGATCGAAGCCGCACCGTGAGAAAGAACACAAAAGCGAGAGTGCATCACAAAAAAAGGATCGACTGACTTAGAAGCCGCTCCAGCAGACAAAGAAAAAAGAAAAGAGACCAACCGAGAACGGGAGATAGAAACAAAAATAAAAGAGATAAAGGGAAGCGGACAAAAGAAGAAATACGAAAGAAGACAGAGCCGCCTTTTGTTCCCCCTCATCACGGAGATCGGCCTTTGCGCGGCATGAGGGATCAGTAACTCGTTGAAGTGCAAGCCTAGAGAGCACGACCACGAGCGAAGCCAACTGGATCTCCGCCTCTCTCTAGCCCCCGAACAGAGACCAGAACAAAACACAAACCTTGAGCTCCGAAACATGGTAGATGAAACAAACTGCAAGCCGTCCCGTGACAGCTATGCTCGTCAGGATCAGCCGCCAGATGTGATACAGAAGAACCACCAGGGGAGTTCGCCCTTCGAGATGCCGCGAGTCCTACCACCGCGCGCGAATCGGACTGGTCGACCGAAGACTCAACGATGAACTGACAGGAGCTGCGCCGCCGGACCGCGGTCGAGCTCAAGACACGCAGACCGGAGCGGATGCGGCCCAATGTCAGCGAGTGCAAAGTGGCAGACCACGCCTCACCCCCCGTCGGACTGTCGCCACAGCAAGCCGACGGTGCGCCAAACCGGATCGAGGCGCAAGGAGATCTGCAACCAAATCGAACCACGGGCGGTTCGTCTTGATGTTGGGGCCAACGGCTCTGTGGTGGAAACCTCCTCGCTCCAGGATCACAGGTTTCCCGGGCTATGACAGTCGGACGATGAGCTAAAGTGCCGGCTGGCGTCAAGAGTGCAGTCGGCACCTGCACTGTTTGCAGATCTGCGAGGGGTAGATCGTCGTTTTTTTTTCCCTCATCATGGAGATCGGCCTTTACGCGGCATGAGGGATCAGTAACTCGTTGGAGTGCAAACCCAGAAAGCACCACGACGAGCGAAGCCAACCGGGTCTCCACCTCTCTATAGCTCCTGAACAGAGGCCAGAACATAAAACAAAACCCCCAGCTCCGAACCATGGCAAATAAAAGAAGAAGAAAACCGAGGTCGCCAAGCTCGACAGCAGTGACGACAAGGGCCACCGCCAGAATCACGGCACCGGCCTCAGCCATGCGCGAGCCCTCTGTACCAGCACAGGCGCGAGAGCAGGTCTCTCTCTCTCTCTCTATCTCTCTGTTGTTTTCTTTCTTTTTATCCGAAGCTCATTTCTTTGGTTCCAGCAACCAGGGTAAAACAGAAACACGGCCATGCACCACCACCGCGAGGTCAAGCAGATAGCGGCCTGTGGGGATGCCTTCGCGGCCATCTTCGCCGACGGCAGCGTTGCCACCACAGCGGCCGTGCAGGCTCCGCCTCAAGGCGTACAACGCATCCAAGCCACGAGGTACGCCTTTGCCGCTATCCTCGACAACGGCTCCGTGCTAACCTGGGGAGATCCCAAGTACGGCGGTGACAGCACGGCAGTCCAGGACCGGCTCCAAGACGTCCAAAGCATCCAAGCGACGGCATCGGCCTTCGCTGCGGTGCTCGGCAACGGCTCCATCGTCGCCTGGGGATCGGACACGAGCGGCGGTGACAGCACCGGGGTCCAGAACAAGCTAAACGGAGTGCAACAGGTACAAGCCTCGGAAGAAGCCTTTGCAGCCATACTCGTGGATGGATCCGTCGTGACCTGGGGGAACACCCACAGCGGCGGCGACAGCGGCGAGGTGCAAGACACCCTCCTCAACGTCACGCAGATCCAAGCCTCCNNCCGCGGTCCGGACCGATGGGTCCGTCGTGACGTGGGGCCGGGCCGAGTGCGGTGGCAACAGCTCAGCGGCACAGGAACAGCTCCAGCACATTCAGAAAATTCAAGCCACGGATGCCGCCTTTGCCGCCATTTGCCAAGACGGCTCCGTCATCACCTGGGGCGCCGCCCACGCAGGCGGCAACAGTGACGCCATCAAGAACGAGCTGAAGCACGTCAAAGCAATCCAGTCCACCATGGATGCATTTGCAGCCATACGCACAGACGGGTCCGTGATAACCTGGGGAAACCCACAGCGTGGAGGCGACAGCTCCACCGTGCGCCACCAGCTCAGACAGGTGCGCGCCATTCAAGCCTCCGAACAAGTTTTCGCGGCCATTCTCATGAACGGATCCGTGGTGACGTGGGGCTGTCCGCGAGCAGGCGGCGACAGCAGCGAGGTCCAAGGCAGGCTCAAAGGAGTAAGACACGTGCAAGCCACGGATCGGGCATTCGCCGCAATCTTGACCGACGGCTCCGTGGTCACTTGGGGCATTCGGCCAAGCAACGATGAGAGCCATCTCAGTGGAGTTCGGCACCTCCAAGCCTCCCAGGAAGCGTTTGCAGCCGTACTGAAAGACGGCTCCTTCGTGACCTGGGGCAATGCGGCGTACGGCGCTCGTACGTTCAGCGCCAACTAGCAGAGAGCCCGCATCGACAGAGCCGCAGCGGAGAAAAAGACAAGCAACTCGCGAGGCCCCACAGACCGCCTGCAAAAGAGCATGCACAGACCTCGAAGCCCCGCGGCCCAGTCTCCCCAAGAAGCCAGCCCTTCAGCCTGCCTGCCAACGTTAAGCAACAGACTCGTGAGCCGAGGCAAGCCACAGCCTGGACGAGAAGCCCGAACGCAACCGCGCGGACAGAACGCACCAGGCAAGAATTTCCAAGAACCCAAGCAGCCCCCCCCCCCCTTCCTCCACATCCGAACAAATCAAGCCAACACGTGCCCAGGTCCTACGACGACTACAACAATGCGACCATCAACCCTGGGTGAGGAACAGCTTCAGTGCCTCTCCCCTGCGAGAGGTCGAGTGGTCAGGGCCACTCGCAAGATTGAAGCCAAGCCTCTTAGGCCCTGAGCGTCAGGAGGTGAGGACCGTTGAAACACAACAAGAAAAGCAGTCCGAACGTACAGAAAGCACGCCAACGAGAAAACCGGGTGAGAATCAGGCCCAGGATCAAAGCCGCACCGCGAGCAAGAACGCAACAGCGACAGAGGCGCAGCAAAAGATCCACTGACCTACAAGCCACACCATAAGGCAACAAAAAGAGACCCACCGAGAACGGAAGACAGAGACAACGAGAAAAGAAAGAAATGAAAACAGATAAAGGGACACAAATATGAAAGAAAGCAAAGAAGGGATAAAAGCAACAAGGCAAAAACGAACCCGGTAGGTGACAGGAGCGAAGCAACAGCTCGGATCGAAGCACATGCCACCACGGATCCAAGAAGCAGGCGCAAGAGCTCCACTTCTCCCAAAAGCTGAAGAAAAAGAAGCTCCCAGACCAACCACCCAGCTAACCCTCGCCAGCACCGTCCAGGCTCAGACAGCTATCAAGACCATAGAAGTCGAGAAGCGTCTTTCAGCCGCTGCAGCACCAACATGGCCCAGGCGCGCATCGCCGCTCAGGACCCAGACTTGCAGGTGACTGTACAGGTGCAGATGTAAAGGATTTTATATGTGCGTGTCTGTGTATGTGTGCGTGTGTGAATCTGTGTGCGCGGCGTGCGTGCAACAAGCAATCTCAAGACATCGAATCACTGTCAACAGAGAACGCAACGAATAATGAACTCGAAGGAGCCTCGACTAAAGATCCTGCTCGCCAAGTACCGAAAGTTACCCGCACGCAGCCTCCAAGAGGCCAGGACGGTAAACACCCAGCAGACCTCCGAACCCTGCATGCCCCTCCCAGGTGAAGCTCGTGTGTACCGGCGAGACTGACAAGCTGACTGCAGAAGAAAGGCATAAGTATCGACGCCACCCGCTGCGGCAGCAGGCTTAAGTCGGAAGAGCAGCTGCAACACCGCGACACGTGCCGCACGTCCCCGCCGCAGGCAGTCCGGCTGGCCGACCGAATCAGTCGCCTGATCTGGAACACACTGAGCCAAAGCAGACAGCGATGGTGGCGACCGGCGCAGGTCATGGACATGATCCAAGACGTGCTCCAGGCGCACCGCCAACCCGACAGCAGCGCATGCATGCTTCGAAGCAGAGCCGCGACCATCCGCAGGTCCAGCTCCACTTCGTCGAGAAGGAACAGCTCGCGCAGTCCCTAGGATGCCTTCGCGCAAAGTCGCAGCCACAGCAGATGTAGGAAAGCCAAGTTCGCGGCCCGCGCAGAAGGAAAAGCCGAAACACGCAACGGTCAGCTTTGGAGTTGAAGCAGCAGCGTCCACGGAAAGAATGCAAACCGCATGCGATTGATGTAGCCCCATGCCCGACTTGCTGTTTTTCTTGTTGCAGGAGAAAAGTGCCTTATCGTAGACACCCGAACCGGCCTCAGCAATGTCCCGGCTCCATGGAAACGGCTACACGCTTTCACAACAAGCAGCAAAGCTAAAGACTACTCGAGCTCAGACCGTCACGTGAGTCCTAGGCCTGCAGCAAACGGCCCCGTCACCAGGAGCCGCAGTTTCCAGATGCAAACACAACAGCCGATCCACTACAGGAACTAACAAGCTCCAGCCCCAAGCATCGCCGCTGCTGCCGCATCCAAGCATGCTGCAACCAAAGATGCTCTTCGCGGGGTGTGCCGCGTTGACAGATGACTTGCTGAACCGTGCCGCAGCGCTCTCGTGGCAGCTGGAGCCCAGCTTCGCTGCCGCGAGTCGTCGCCAACAGCATCGCACAGGTTTCATGTCAGCGAGCATGCCCCGCATTACGCTGAAACAATACCTGCAGCATCTGTACCGGCAACTCATGACTCGAGACCTTGGCGAAGCGACACCTTTGCCCTGCAGCGTCCTGATCACCGCAGCTGCGCTGCTGCAGCGACTCCAACACGCTGCCCCGGAAGTCTTCAATCCTTTCAGCCTGCACCGCCTCTGGGCCACGGCATTCACGCTAGCATACGCGTGGCTCGCAGATCTCTCCATTCACTGGCCCACAATGGCAGCGCTGACAGGCTACCAAAACGGTCTGGAGCTCGAGCGCACGACGGCCCTCTTCCTGCAGCTGATCGACTGGCGCTGCTTCGTCTCGCAAGAAACCTACCAGCTGACGTGCCTGAACATCGCTCAATCAGCCGTCCCACGACCGAGATGACCAGCCCAGGACTTCTACTATACAAACGCAAAAGACTCCGCATCTAGAGGAATTGTATCCAGTAGACCTGGTGTACATGCGCCCAGCGACTGGAATTATACATCCCACAAATAATACGCGTTGTCGAGGACTGCCCGGGCAAGAGAAGAATCAATTGCCCTCGACGACCAGGTCCCCGTATTTCTGCAGGTATAGCCTCGAGCACTAAGCCCCGCACACACAGAAATGTCCAATGTAGCCAGCATTCCCGCTACTCGCCAGGTATGCGATGAACCGGAGCCATGACCTGACGGCCGCGTGAGCCGCTGCCTCAGCAAGGATTCAGTTAACAGCAGCCAAAGTACGTTCCGGAAACCCACCCCACCCCCCTCCCCCCTTCTCCCCCAATGCAGACCTGTCGCAGGACCGGCATGACACAAGCGCGGAGCCAAGCAGCAAAGACGACAGCGACGAGCCTGTGCTCGAGCAGACAGGAAATATAAAAAGACGAGACGAGCGAGCACCGAAGCCGCACACGCTTGAAAGAGACGTGACAGTGCCACCGAAGACTGCCTGAGCACGCCTGTTCCGCAGGACATCAAAGCAGGCCTCGATCCATCCACGTACACAGTCTCGCGTAGCAGCACAGGCACATACGTACTCTAGCTGCATCATAACGGCACTCGCAAAAACGGTTCTGCATTTGTGTCATGATGTACAAACGATACAAAACATCAACGCAGACCATAGCCATGCAACATAAATTACAGGACCCAGCAGTCACCAAACGGAAGAAGACCCAACACGACACCACTCGAACGGTGCCAATCGTCCTTCGCAACAACGCCATGAAGCAGCGACGCCCTCAAATTCCAACAATAAAGACTCCAGCCGTGCCACGACCCAACGCGAACATGCTCGCCAGGAAAATCAACCTCATCCTCGCCACCCTAGCTGGCCGCAGTCGCGAAACCACGGTGCACAAGTACATCAGCCTCGCTTACTTCTCGCAGAAGGCCACAGCGACCACCCCCCCCCCCAGCCCGACACAGACGACCGAAATCCAGCACTCGTCCCGCAGGCAGCCAGGCTCCTCGGTTTTGGCCGTTGCATCTTGGTCCGCAAGAAGAAGCAGCTGAGATCCCTCAGGTACCTCAAGGCGCGGCATCAGCTCGACTTCATAACAATTCGTTTCCCATAATTCGGTTGAGTGACGAGTGCAGGACGGCAGCGTGCTGAATGTGATCCAGATCAGACATGCGAAGCTCCACAATTGATCGTGGCAGCCCCAGATGNNTGAAAGCAGCACGAAGCAGGAATTACCCGGGAACCAAGGACCCGAGAACGAGAAAACGGCGTCGTGAGAAGCCAGAGACATCCAGACAACAAGAACACAAAACTTTCCTCTATCTCTCTCTCTCTCTCTCTATCTCCATCTCTCCCTGTCTATCTCCATCTCTCCTCTCCGTCTCTCTCTCTCTCTCTCTCCTCTCCTTCTCTCTCTTTCTCTCTCTCTATCTCTCTCTATCTCTCTCTCTCTCTCTCTCCCTATCTCTCTCTCTCCCTCTCTCTCCCTCTCTCTCCCTCTCTCCCTATCTCCCTCTCTCTCTCTCTCTCCCTCTCACTCTCTCCCTCTCTCACCCTCTCTCCTTCACATACCCCCTCTCTCTCCGACGGACACATCACACAAAGCCAAAGCATCGCACATATTTTAGCAGCACAGCAAGCCCACACACCAACTTAGTGCAGCTCGACTCGAGGCAAAAAAAGAAAAAGACCCAGAGCTCAGGCATACTGTCAGCAAACGGCAGTCGACTTGGCAGGCACCATGCAACGAAACACCATCAACCACACAATCGTTCACTCGTGTGAAACGTGCACGTTGCCAGCGCAATTGGCTCCAGAGCTCGCGCCGCAACAATCTCCTCGCAGCGCGCGGGGACACAAGCCAACTCCATCAGGCTGTGCAAACTGTGAAGCATCCTCTAATCTTCATATCCATCGACATGTTGATCCATCAAGCTATCTATAGATCTGTCCGCGCAGGCCCATGACCAAGAGCTTTGCCGACATCGCGACGGCCAACAGACGACGCGTCAAGCAGGACCAACACGCTATACCCGAAGACACACACACACACACATACACACAGATCGACGCCAGCAAGCCAGGTGCGGAACAAGTTGGCCAAGTGCACATCCGGACAAGAGCGATTGCGCTGCGCAATCCAGGCACGACGATGCTCTTAACAACAGGCTTTCGACCGCATCCTGCAACGTGACATGTCGAGATGATGATCAGCGAAGCCAAGAAAATCACTAACGCGGTGGACAACACCAGCATCCTACTCCTCGTGTCGCAGCCTCAGTACGGCACCAGTGCTGCACAGATCTATCAGACCTGTCAGGCATGCAAACCTACATCAGCACCAGAAGCCACACAGTTGATCAGCCGCGAAGTGTTCCACTGCAGGCTCATGCAGGACATCCTCGACCAGGATTCCCTCGCCACGGACGACAACCAAGCAAGTGGCAGTGGAGCGGCAGCGCATTCGATGCACGCCGATGCGCAGAGCCACGAAGCCAGCTACGAGGCCGCATGAAGCCCAGACCCGTTCATGTTCAGCCAGCCACGATGCAGGACTCACAACACTGGGAAGACGCCTGGTGAAGGCCGCCCGACAGCAAAGTGAGCTTGAGAGACTTGCACCAAAGAAGCTTCCACGCCCTCAAACCCGCTATCACACAGTGCACCACAACCAGGCTCCAGGACTCCAAGCTCAACTGTTGCAAAACAGCCAACCCCATACCAAGAAGATTCCCATGAAACAGTCCACAGCAGAGACAAAACGCAGTCGCTTGCAGCACTTGCCCCTCCAAGGCGCGCCACGCCAGCCGAGCAGATACGGGCAGTTACAGAACGACAGCGCTGCAAGGAGAGAAAATGGCACACTGCAGCGCAAAGCAACAGAGAGAGACCATCTCACGAATCCGTGTTTCATGCTTCATTCCATGTATGCCATACAGCTACATCAACCAGCATAAGAAAAAGCACCACTGCATCCGGTGATAAAACCCCACAGAAAAGGTACTAGACCTATACCACAGCTTCCGTAGGCACTTCCTCACACAACATACCAGACAAACACTGTTTTGTTTCGGATGATAACAACTCCCCCCCCCCCTGGCACCAACCATGCAGGACCGAACCAAGCCCAGGAATCACACCCTCGGGCGAGCCAACCACATTGCCCACGCCGCACGCCAAAAAAAACCTGGGAACGGAACAGTGTTGGAGCCTCGATCTGAAGAGGTGAGGTGAACAGGGTCACCTCTAATTCCAACACCAAGCCGTTTAAGCCCTGAGCGTCAGGCCACTGAACGCACGACCCCCCCC